CTGCAGCAGCGTGCCGTTCTCTCGCACCGCCGTCACCTAATCAGGGGGACGAAAGGGGATGAGCGGAGATATAGCCGAGCTGCAGCCGAGCTACGGCCGAGGTACCGCCGAGAGACCGCCGAGAGAGGGCCACAAGTACAGTGGATACACAGCCGAGATACGAGAGCGTGCAGACACCTTGTCGGCAGACCCGAGGGCGAGGGAGAAGGAGACGCCGCCCGGCGGCTGCGGCCGCCCGGAGAGCGGCAGCACGCGCACCTCGGTAGAGGCGAGGCACAGTCTGGCTAGGGACTGGGACACGCTCCCCGTGTGGGTGGAGGCTCATACGGCGGGACGACGGCCACACTGCAGCGAGGCAACACTTGTCGCTCTAGATAGACAAGCGAGGATCTGCGCCCTTAGAATAGACGCAATCTGGCTGCGGGCCGTGGGACGTGCCACGACCGACAGCGCGCGCACCTCCCCCGCCGTCGCGAACGATTCATACTCACTCTCTCGCAGAACTACTCGCCGTTCATCTGTTGCTCATCTTCTGCACCTCCCCCGCCGTCGCGAACTGGCGCATCTCGCGCCCCTCGAAGCGCGCGTCGACCCGCTCGATCACCTGCAGCTGGTAGCAGGCGCCGGCGGGCGGGGCCTGCGGGGCACGTCGAGGTGGGGGTCGAGGAAAGGTCGAGGAAAGGTCGAGGAAGGGTCGAGGAAAGGTCGAGGAAGGGTCGAGGGAGGGTCGAGGAAAGGTCGAGGAAAGGTCGAGGAAAGGTCGAGGAAAGGTCGAGGGAGGGTCGAGGAAAGGTCGAGGAAAGGTCGAGGGAGGGTCGAGGAAAGGTCGAGGGAGGGTCGAGGAAAGGTCGAGGAAAGGTCGAGGAAAGGTCGAGGAAAGGTCGAGGAAAGGTCGAGGAAAGGTCGAGGAAAGGTCGAGGGAGGGTCCAGGGAGGGTCGAGGGAGGGTCGAGGAAAGGTCGAGGAAAGGTCGAGGGAGGGTCGAGGAAAGGTCGAGGAAAGGTCGAGGGAGGGTCGAGGAAAGGTCGAGGAAAGGTCGAGGGAGGGTCGAGGAAAGGTCGAGGAAAGGTCGAGGAAAGGTCGAGGAAAGGTCGAGGAAAGGTCGAGGAAAGGTCGAGGAAAGGTCGAGGAAAGGTCGAGGAAAGGTCGAGGAAAGGTCGAGGAAAGGTCGAGGAAAGGTCGAGGAAAGGTCGAGGAAAGGTCGAGGGAGGGTCTAGGAAGGGTCTAGGCGGCGCCTGTAGTGCGGCGCGCGGCGACGGCGCGGCGTGGGAGCGGCCGCCACCGTGCAGTGCTGTGGTGGAGGCGGCAAGGAGCGGGAGCGAGGGCGGCGCAAGCGGCGTCGCCGTCTGAAGGGCCCGCCAACGGACGGCGAGGGGAAACCTTTGCCGAGGGGTC